CTATGTATAAGAACTGATATCTCAGAATATTCAATTAATAATAATAATACTGTATAATTCTGTGAATAATGCTAAATCTCTCACTCTGAACTCTTATACATCTGAATAATATAAGAAATGTATAATTTGTATATAACTGATTATTCAGACTGTGAACAACTGTACTGAATAATCTCTTGAGAATTCTACTGATCTGAGATATTAAACAGTATCAGACATTTTATCTGAAACTATAACTATTATTCTTCTGTCATCTTATAACAAAACTGTAGAAAAGATCTGCTGAAACTGCTCAATATCTCTGATAGAATCTGATAAGATGTGATAATTAACTTTACTGTTAATTTTTCTAAGAGTAAGAATTATAGAAACATTCTGATCATTATAAATTGATTAAGTAAAAATATAATATTACAGTCTTGTAATAAGATGAATACTGAACAAGTTACTGAAGCTTTTCTACAGAGTGTGTTCTATTGAATATATGAATTACTGAGATCTATAGTATTGAATTGAGACTGTTATTTTATAAGCACTCTGTGAACAAGAATCTGTCAAGTTCTCAAGATTATACACTGTCTGTTAACTGTCTATCACTCTGAAATCAATAATGCATTAGAACAGATAATTCAGACTGTAAAGAATTATCTCTATAAGTTCTGTAATCACTTATAAGATGATTGATATGACCTGCTTTCACACACACAGATCACTATCAATGAATGAGATGCTGTTTCAACAGATATAAGCTCATTCTTCCTTACATATAGTTATTATATGAAGGTGTTGAATCTTCTAGAGATCATACAGTTCACACTGAATCTCTGCAGTTTAATTTAGATCACTGATAATATAGTAATAAATCTCTGAGATGCTTATAACTGAGCAGAGGTCTTCATGACAACTGTAAAACAAGATTAAGAGAATTAAATTAATATTCACTGAGATCTCACTGAACAATATAACATAGAAGACTTAGTATAATTGAATCTTAAGAATATACAGATCATATGTTCATCTTGTATACTAGATTATCACTATATCAAGTATAAAGTGATAGAAGTTCTTAGACTGATCATGTGACCGTGTCTGAGACCAGCCCCGGTGGCCGAATGGTTAATGCGGCCACCCGGTAGCGCCTTGGCGTGGGAAACCAAGGCGCGTGGGTTCGAAACCGCAGGGGATACATTAAATCCAGAACTCAAGCACCTCAGGTTTCTAATAAATACAGAGGTGTACAAATCACTTCAATGAATCACTCTATGTTCCTGAGCTGGGAAGTTATTATCGCATGTATCTAATTGTCACTTCTTTGTATTTTCCTATGTTCTTGTTATCTTGGCGTGGTCTCAACACCTGTATTTCCTCCTGTATAATCAACACTTGACCTGTATTTAACATCACACAAGAACTCATCATAAGCTCCGCTTGCATATGAGTATAATGAAAGAATAATAAAAAAAAAATAAAGTGTCTGAGATCAGAATCAAACTTTTTGATAGTTTCATTATCAATTTGACTAATCTTATTACACAGTTTTAACATTAGATAGTAGTTTCATACTATCTCAGTGAGACTTACTGTCTACTCTTATCACATTTTTCAAATGAGATTATGATTTTCACTTCTCAATTTAAATTATTTTTATTGCTTTAAATGACTTTAAATCTTATTTAAGTGTTATCAAAAAGCATTACTTCTTAAAAAAATTAAAAATAGTCTAAAAAAAACCTTAAAATGTCTAAAAATAGTAACTTTATACTAAGAATGAAACTAAATGAAATCAAATGAGATCACTTTCTCATTTTTTTCAAGTCATGATTTCATTTTAAGATCTCATATATAGTCACTTTGCATGTTTTTTTAATAACTAGTCCCAGCGGGATTCACATCAAGAAATGTATGAGATCAAATTAAATGAGACTAAACATAAAATTCATAGTTTCGGCGGCCAGTCTAGAAGTTCTAGATAGTCATAACTACTATCTTAACATATCACTAGAGATTCATGATATCTTTCATACAAGCTTGCTTTATCACACTGCTACTGACTCATTTTCTTCTCAACTAACTTTCAACTGACAGCTGTCAGTCATCATAGAAGAAGATAATGACCTTGAGTGAGACATTGAGAATATTCTTGATAAGAGATTTCACAGCTGCAGCTGATAATATCTTATGAAATGAGTTTACTATAATTAACTGACCTGAATTCTGAGTTCTGTGTTATCTGAAATAGCAGCTCTTGACTGATGAGAACTGCTTCTGAAAGAGAGAAACTAATGTAGCAGACTGTGTCTGATTAATTATATAGACTATTTCATTACACTTCACAGATTTCTACTGCTTTATTCTTGAATATGTATACTCTGATTCTCAGTCATTCTTAATTGCTGATCCTCAGTCACTATGAACATGTGTAAATTCTTCCACCTTGAAGCTTCACTGTGTACATCATCACATACATGTATAAATATTCACTTCAATTTTTAATTCTCATACTTGCTCTTTCTTTTCCTTGTTTAATATTTTTCTCTTTGTTATATGAGATCTATATATTATACCGATCTATTCGGTGTAGGTCTCTTACAACTCATAACACTATATATACTTCTCTAATTAGAATACTCTCTTTTCAAACTGTTACTAATACTGATACTGATATCTTAACTTCTTCTATACTAAATAAACTGTGATATATAACAGTCTGAGCTGATGAACATCTTCAGACTCTCACTGAAGTAGTATAATAAGAAGTGTCTCAATTTTCTTCAGAACTACATATAAAGTCTGATATCTCAGAATATTTAATTAATAATAATAACACACTGTGATTCTATGAATAATATTGAGTCTCTCAGTCTGAATCTCTATACACTCAGATAATGCAAGAGATGTATGATTTATATATAACTGATTATCTCAGTTATAAATAGCTGTATTAAATAATCTCTTGAGAATTCTACTGATCTGAGATATTGAATAGTATAAGATACTTTGTCTGAAACTATAACTATTGTTTCTCTATCACTTTATAAAAGAATTATAGAAAAGACCTGCTGAAACTGCTTAATATCTCTAATAGAATCTAGTGAGATGTACTAATTAACTTTACTATTAATCTCTCTAAGAGTAAGAATTATAGAAATATTCTGATTATTATAAACTGATTAAGTAAAGATATAATATTAAAATCTTGTAACAAGATAAATACTGAATAAGTCACTGAAGTTTTTCTACAGAGTCTATTCTATCAGATATATAAATTACTGAAATCTATAGTATTAAATCAGTTCTGTTAATTTATAAGCACTCTCTGAATAAGAATTTATCAAGTTCTTAAGATTATACACTGTTTATTAACTATCTATCACTCTAAGACTTATAATATATCAGAATGAATAATTCAGACTGTAAAGAATTATTTTTATAAGTTCTGTAATTACTTATAAAATAATTGATATAATCTTCTTCTATATACAGAGATTGCTATTAATAAGTAAGATACTATTTTAATAGATATAAGCTTGTTCTTTCTTATACACAGTTATTATATAAAAGTATTAAATCTTCTAGAGATTACACAGCTCACACTGAATCTCTGCAGTTCAATTCAGATTACTGATAATATAGTAGTAAAGCTCTGAGATATCTATAACTGAGCAGAAGTCTTTATAATAAGTATTAAATAAGATTAAAAGAACTGAATTAATATTCACTGAGACTCTTCTGAGTAATATAAGATAGAAGACTCAGTATAATTAAATCTTAAATATATATAGATTATATACTTATCTTATTCACTGAATTATGACTATATTAAGTATAAAGTGATAGAAGTTTTAGATAGTTATAACTATTATCTTAAAACATTATTAGAGATTTATAATATCTTTTATATAAGCTTACTCTGTTATACTGTCACTGATCTGTTCTCTTCTTAACTAACTTTCAACTAACAGCTGTCAGAAATTGTAGAAGAAGATAATGAACTTAAATAAGAAATTAAAGATATTCTTAATAAGAGACTCTACAGCTGTGACTGATAATATCTTATGAAATAAGTTAGTTATAATTATCTAATCTGAACTCTGAGCTTTATATTATTTAAGACAGCAGTTCTTGACTGATGAGAATTACATATCTGTGACTCTATATCACTTCTGAAAAGAGAGAACTAATATGACAGACTGCATCTGATCAATTATATAGACTATTTTATTACACTTCACAGATTCTACTGAAAGTTTCAATTCTCAGTCACTGATTCTCAGCTGAAAAACCTATGAAATTTCTATTCCTTCACTCTGAAGCTTCACTGTGTATACATATAAATATTCACTTCAATTACTGATTCTCACACTTTCTCTTTCTTTCCTTCTCTAACATTTTCCACTTTTGTATTATAAGACCTATATATTATACTGATCTATTCAGCGTAGGTCTCTTATAAGAAGAGTATAAAGAATGTAAATACAGTAGAAAACATCTATAAAGAAAAGAATGAAGATTAATATCAGAGTCATACAGCTGATTTCATTCATGAATTTGATAAAGTGCATGTAATATCATGTGAGATCATGTTACAGAGCATTTTGCTCAGAAAAGTTGATTTTTCTATAATAAAGAGATAGATATTAAAGAGAGTGAAAAGCAGTGATTGAAATCAGAGATTGACAAAGTAGATATTCACTTTTTATTTCTAACTTTTATATGTACAAATACTCAATATTCTCTGTAATATGTATGAATTTTAATGTATATAGACCTCTGGTTGTTGGATAATTACTATTAATATCCTCTCACTACTTGAATAGATGTAGATTTTGTTGGGGGGTGCAGATACTTTTGCGGAGCGACTAACTATATACAATATTCCTAAGCACAAATTGCACCCACACACGTTTACTAAGAAAGGAAGGGAGAAAATAAAAGTAAACGAGAAATTAAAAACGAGAAAAATGAAAACCCTAGCCAAGACAGAAAGAGAAAGTCGGTTTTTATTGAGGAGCAGCAGTGTTAGCTAACTGTTGCTGGTCAGTGACTACCAGACCAGCAATACTGGCGCTGCTGAAAGTGCTCATCGCCCCGGTTAACATCGCACTGAATGCAACGCGAGTCACATCTGCACTTCGTCCCGGTGCGAGCTGGGAGAGGACACCTATTTGATTGCCCAGAGAGCCGATGTTGGCGAAGCCGCAGAGGGCGTAGGTGGCGATGAGGCGGGAGCGGGGAGAGATATCGGCATAGTATGAGTTGTTTTGAAGTTGCTCGTAGGCGACAAATTCGTTCTATTGTGAGTATTTTTCGGTTAGTGGGTTAGAATATTTCTTTTGAGAAAGTCTTTTGTTGTTATAAAGAATAGGAAGAGGAATGAGGTGCATATATAGGTTAGCTAGTGGTGAGCATAGGTGGAAACACTTACGGCAATGAGCTTTAAGCCGATTAATTTGGCGACTTTGTAAATGTCGTCGCCCGTACGGGATACGCCGAGCAAGAAGGAGATCGGGTAGCAAATGTACCCGACGATCATCTCCAGGGTGAGGGGAGGGTCATTGATGTTTAGATACCGACCCCACCACGTTAGGAGGCCATTGACTAGACCTAGGAGGGAGATGATACAGAGCAAAGTCGCCATGATAACAGCTCCTATCTTGAGACCAAGCCAAGCACCATTCGCAAATGCGTGGAGCGCGTTCTTAGCACGGTGTTCTTCGTCATCCGGAACTATCACCCGTCCAGCCGTTAAGGTTTCCTCGGTCTCGGGGAACCTCATTTTGGAAACGGCAAGCGATGCAGGAATACTCATCACACAGGATGAGATTAACGCCTGTGGGTTGACGCCAAAGCTCACATAGGCAATGAGAACGCTGCCTGCAATCGTAGCAAAGCCGGAACACATGATTTGGTGGATTTCGGCTTGCGTGAGGTGATTGATGAATGGGCGAATCAACATGGCGGATTCTCCTTGGCCGATGAAGGGAGAAGCTGCGGCCACAACAGCCTCAGCACCGGACACACGCATGGACCAGAAGAAAGTTTTAGCGAATTTGCCAATGAACCATTGAATGAAACCAATGTAATAGAGCAGTTGCACCAGGGAGACGAAGAATATGATGGCAGGGATAACAGTGACCAGGAACCAAGTGACCTCCCTCGGAACCCAATCTCGCGTGAGGAACGCTGTTCCTTCGCCGGCGAAACCCAGCAACGCTCTAGCCAAACCCGAGATAAAGTTGAATAGATCATATCCGGCCTGCGTGCGTAGAACAAACAAAGCTACCAGAAACTGCACTAGCATACCAACCAGAACAGTCTGCCACACGATCTTCTTGCGATTGTTCGAAGTGGCCCATAGCGTAAATAGAAGCACCACCAAACCAAACAGACTGACGGCACGGTTGCCTCTGGTGTTGTCCTCTGATTCTTCCGAAGCGAAAGCTCCAACCAGGAAGACTACAACCACCACCAAGGTTGCTAGCGGGATTCTGAATTTATCTGGGATAAAGGAAACGATTGGGATCGCGGTGCGATGCCAAACCCAGCGCATCGGCCTGGTAATAATAGAGATTGGGACATAGAAGAAGAGCAAGCGTAGCGATATTGCTAGATGGACCTGGAACGGGACAACCCATCCCAGGTCCTTGCGGCGGAGGATCAGGCCAGCAATCCACCAGCTGCAATGGAAGAGGTGTTCTTGTTAGCTTCCATATGACAGTTTTGATCACGGAGGAATGGGTAAATAGAGTGACACCAGCAGAACAAGGGCCATGATATCCACTTGAACACCGGGAAAACGCGCACGAGGGTTAATAGAGAGCAGCACGTAGCTGGATGCAGCATTGCTTACCCAGTAAATAGTAGCCATATCACAGCATGCGTCGCCATGATAAAATGAGCTCTGTGCCGTTCCCGGAAGCGGCTAAACCTGTTCCCCTCATCCCTATCTTCCTCAACCGCCTCAACATCTCCGGTTTGCTTCGTCTCGGACTGGCTCTGGCTGCCATGGTCTAGGGGGCTCTGGTCCGGTATATTGGACTGATCGATACCCTTGACGTAGACCACTTCGTCTTCGCGACCCCTTTCCGCGAACGCAGAATGCTGGTGGTGAGCATGGTGATGCTGATTCGCAGGGTTGAGCGCAGGGTCTGCGCTCCGGGGAGGATGCGAGACCTCCAGCGTTTTTGAATCCATGCGATTGCTGAGTGGGATTCTTTCTAGATTGGCTGTTCCGTCAACTTGGGATTGTCGCGTGCTGGGCGGTACAGGCGTTTTGAGCGCTATTAGGAGGTGAATATGAAGATTCGAGGGGGGAAGGTTCGCGTCGCACAGCAGCTAACAGCAGTTTTTTATTCAACAGGAGGACGAAAACCTTCTTGTCGTCTTTAATATTCAGCGGCAGGCTCCATATCCATGGGTTGCTAGAAATATGAATAAAGAAAAGACGAATCACTGACGGTTGTCAACTTCCTATTTACCTTGGAAAAACCGTGCAACTGGAGATGAATCCAAACAACGCCCTATATATACAAAATGAAGAATGAAGGCCGCGGTTGAAGCTACAGACTGGAAGAGTGCGGAGAAAAGGGAGAACACAACCAGCAAGCGCAGCTTTTGCGGGGAAACCTTGATACTCAAACCTCCACGTCGTGCCGTTGGAATAGGCGAATTCCGCCCATAGGTCGCCCTCTCTATGTCGTAATCCCATTGCCCATCCACCCCTCACATTGCCTAGTTAGGACTCTGGCTCAGCGCCTCGGGCCAAGAAACACAAAATTATGGCTTCTTTACCTAAACCTTTCACGGTAGCTCAAAAAGCTTGACGGAGACATCACCCAAGAGCCCTCCAGAGTCGTTGGCTTGCTGGCCGGCAAATGGTTGGAGTAAGAAAAGAAATTTGGACCGCGAGAGACAGGGAAATGCAGCCCTGCCATCCTTCCCCATAACAAATCAGAGCCTTCAGCAAGGGTCCGAGTGTGTCCTACGGGGAAATCCCATGCGAGTGCAGAAACCTACTCGGCATCTTTGCCTCAACGCCGTTCGGTGCTTGACCGTGAACATGGTTGTAGGTCAGAATTCCAAGGCTAAGGCTAGGAGGCGGAAACCTTGGCACTCCGTAGCTAGTTCAGCCGCTAACTATGGCTTGAAGGTTTAGCTTAATAGCCCTCAAACTTAAAAAAGAGTTCGTGTACTTTATACACTGAATTCTCTGATGAAAATAAGTCAAAGACTGATCAACTGCCTGAATCTGTGTCTCTACAGAACACATTTCTCTCTGTAAATGTATCTCTGAAAGACATCACTCTTCTGTCTGCTATCACTGTCATGAGCTTTCCCCGGTGGCTGAATGGTTAATGCGGCCACCCGGTAGCGCCTTGGCGTGGGAAACCAAGGCGCGCAGGTTCGAAACCCGCAGGGTATCCGATACATTAAATCCAGAACCGAAGCACCTCAGGTTTCTAATAAATACAGAGGTATACAAATCACTTCAATAAATCACTCTATGTTCCTGGGCTGAGAAGTTATTATTGTATGTATTTAATTGTCACTTCTTTGTATTTTTCTATATTCTTATTATCTTGATATGATCTCAACACCTGTATTTTCTTCAGTATAATTAATACTTAATCTGTATTTAACATTACACAAGAACTCATTATAAGCTTCACTTGTGTATAAGTATAATAAAAGAATAATAATAATAATAATAATAATAACTATTATAAGCTGTAAAGTTAAATATCTCTGAAAGAAAGTTAATGATAAGTTATTTACAACTCTGAAAAGATATAAGAGACTCTGTAAAAATATCACAGCTTTTAATCTCATTACTCTTAAGATTTTCAGTATTATTGAATTTCAACTCTATTATATATTCAAGATCTGCATTGTGTATCAGAGCTCTGAGACTATTACAGAGATTAAAGTTTTACAAATATATAAAGAAATAGTTAAATACTTACAGAAGAAAGCTTAAGCAGCTGTAATAAAAAAAAAGCTTGACTCTGTAACTGAGTATAAAATATTTAAAATAGTAAATAAGCTGAATATTAAAATCTATGTTCTTAACAGCTGATAAGTTTATTATATTAAAATTAATATGAATATTAATATCATATTCTACAAAGTAAGATGAGTTGTTTAAGACTTCTGTTGATGAAATAATATTAACTTCAGTGATATCTATGTATCTGTTATTTCTATCTCTATTATCTGTGTAATACTTGCAGTTACAGTAGCTAGAAACTGAAATATCTATCAAGTTAACTTCATCACAGCATTTCTAAATACAGGTTTCTCACTTAATGAATAACTTTATATAAGACAGTTAAATAATTTTAATAATAGTACTGATGATGTCTGCTTACTTCTATAATCTCTTTACAGTCTAAAATAGATACTCTATCTGTGATTCAATCTTCTTATAAATTATCTAGAAGATATTAGTTTTAAGTTCTCTTATTACAATGAGAGTCTCTGATTTAAAAAAGAGTCTCAAATCTATCTCACTCTATATATAAATAATGTTAAACTTATAGATTCAGATATAAATATTCTTAAAGAGATAGTTATATAAATTACTGATTAATTTACTATAAAGAATCTGAGCTCTATAAATTATTACTTAGATATAAAAATTAAAAAGAATGAAAGTAATATTAAGCTCTTATAATCTATCTGTATGCAATCAATATTGAATAAGTATGAAATAGCAGACTTTATTATTATTATTATTATTATTATTCTTCAATTATAGATGTATGCAGTCAGAGACTATGACATCTACCTGAGAACTAAAAGTTTTCAGGGTTTTTACTATATCTATACAGTTAACTATTATACATTCATCAATTTCAGATATGCAAAATCAGAAAATTCTAGCTCAGAATACAAAAACTGTTTACAAATTGCAGTATTTTAACATCTTCTGATACTTTGAAACCATTTGACATGACAAAAGACAAGAGAACACAGTCTTAAAGATAGACACATTAAATAGATAGATAGAAAAGAATAGAAAGAAAAAGGTAAAGTAAAATAATGAGAGACTGTAATGAAACAAATTATTGAAAGATAGTATATAGCTGTTTTAACAGACTATATCTGATCAATTTCCTTCTCTTCATATTTAGATATTTCTGAATTCAGTCATTTTCTTGTAGCTGCTTGAGTTTCTGATAGAAAGTCTATTAAGTATTTAATTCCTGTCTCAGTTGAGAATAAGAATCTCATATTTAATTGATTTAGATCATACTTCTCTTTCAATCTGACTCTGAGACTATTGTATAATGCACAGTGCATTACAATATGCTCAGAATTCTCATTTGCATTGCAGAATGAGCATTCTATTGAATCAAATCTATTATCAAATCTTTGTATATAAGATTTGAAATAGCCATGTTCTAATTTCAGCTGTATTATAGATGAGAATATTTTCTTTTTACATTTAATTGAACAAGATTTTCACTTGGGTTTTATTTCAAATCTTGAATAATGTATACTCTTCTTTTATTTCTGCCAGCTTTCATTCCACTTGTCTAAATAAGATTATTTTATTTTTCTCTTTATAAAAGATCAGAACACAATTCTTTGAACAGATCTGCTTAATTCTGAACCTTTTTTTACAGCTGAATCAGCCAATTCATTATCATGAATATTCATATGAGCAGGAACTCAGTGCAGATGAATTATCAGCTTTGATATTCTTCTCTTTTGAATTTTTAAAATGGAGTTTAAGATCAGTTCAAGATTCATTTAATCATTATAAATCTGACTATTTCTAAGTCTTTTTAAAGCAGCTTGACTATCAGAGAATATTCATGTCTCTTTCAAACTATTTTCTCTTTTATAAGATTTTATTTCAATAAGTTTGAAAGCTTTCACTATTGCAAATAATTCAGTATCAAAGACTTCAGATTCACAGCCTAAATTTCAGAAATCTGAGATAAAACTAATATTATCTTCAGTATAAGCAATGTCTGCATCTAATCTATTCAAATTCTCATTTTTTGAGTCATCTGAATAAATCAGAATAGAGTCTTTTAAATTGATTGTAGAAATTCTCTTCAAATGCTGTTCATATTCTTTCTCATTAGATAGTTCACTTATTTGCAAGTCTATAAGAGATTCAAGCTTTTCTCTTCAGAGAGATAACTTCTCATGATCAACTTTTTCAACATTTAAAGAAGAAAATTGATTTTTAATCAGTGAGCATAGTCTGTACAGTTGAGAAGACATTTTCTTTAAAGAATTATTTTCATTTCAATTAAGAAATCTATTTCAATCCAGTTCATTTCCAGAGTTAACTGATGAAAATGAGAAAGAGACTCTTTCTCTGATTATATGATTTGAGCTCATCTTTATAACTCTCAGAGCATAGGTA